AAAGAGATGCTTACGATTAATAACAAATCCAATGTCAAGAGAAAGCAACGAACAACCGAAATCCGAGCGAAAATTGGAGTTTTTTATGCTCCAAGATCAAATCCAAGATGATAAGTAAGAAGGAAAATGTGTTCTAGGGTGAAAAAAATTAAGAGAAATGAAGTCCCGCTCCCCAAAATCACGCCCCCAATGATCTAATAGTCTTCTCATATTTGAATTCCACGAAAATCGCACCAGTCATAAAGCAGACCTTAGCGGCGCTAAGGTCTTAGCGCCGCTAAGGCATCTAAGCGGCTAATGTCTGTACTCGGCATTGCTCCAAAGCGCCGCTTTCCACAGGGCCTTAGCGGCGCTAAGGTCCTTTTGGTCAAAAATTTGCTCCTTCTTCCGCAATTCGCGTGCTCGGCTACGTCGCTCGGGTATTGCCCGAGCTGAAAACTTAATTATCGCATGCTAGGGTCCCGCAAAGTACTACTCGATCATCCACTTCTCGTTACGAACGAACACTCGCTAACCCGATCAACCTAAAACCTGAAATCGCACCACCGAAAAGAGAAACGAAAAACGGAGAAAATAGGAAAAAGAACACAGAAAATACTAAACACACCAGAATAAAGATAAAATGCAAGAAACGACAAAAAATGCCGGAAATACCTAAGAAAAGACCTAAAACGGGGGAGACGACACACGAAATATCAACGAAAATAGCAACAAATATGGGACAAACAGGTCCCATGCACGTGAAGCGCACCATAACAGGGTTAGCCCAAATGAAGCCCAAGTGAGGTTATATCCCAAAACCAATTTGTTGTAGGAGGAGAGAAAAGCGGGAGAAACCTCATTTGAGCTTCATCTTGGGTCACCTATAATGGTGCGCTTCACGTGCGTCGGACCGCACCTGTTCTACCCCCGTTTATTATACAGTACGTAGTAGTCGGCTTTACGTGGGACTGTTCTATTACGTACCCGTCACCCACCTCAATTGGGCTCGTATGAACTATTCGCAAGTGAGGGTGTTAAAATATCACTTATGAGTTGTCCCAAATCAATTATATAGGAAAACTAGACCTACCTAGTGGACTACTCCTTCCATCAACCAATTGATTTTTGGATGAAACCTCACTTGATTTCATCTGAACTCACCCTATTAAGTGTTATAGTGAGCTTCGCGTGCGTGGGACAGGACATCACAGCTCGTTTGTTACAAACAACCCCAGTGAAATATAATACCATAATATTGTTGCTAGACAATATATTTAAAC